TCCTCCTCCTCCTTCACCTTCTGCCACCGTCGCCATCATCGCCAACCATCGCATGGCCCCCGATCTCACCCCGATTCTCGGGGGTGGGTAGTTGACAGAGAGAAAAGGGGGTAGTGGCTCCGAAAAGGAACAGTCGGGCAGGGCAGGACAGGGAGGAATCGTAGAGGGCGAGGAGAGGAAGAGAGGGGGGAGAGAAGGACCATGAAGACCATCAGGAGGACGAGGACGAGGACGAGGACGAGGACGAGGACGAGGACGAGGACAAGGACGAGGACAAGGACAAGGACGAGAGCATAAGAGATGATAGAAACCAAAAATTGCCATATGAGAAGAGAACACTTTCGAGAGTCGAGAAGAAATTTGCAAGTACAGTCGAACGCGTCTGCTCATTGTCTGAGAGCATGTGAACGCTTGCTAAGGGGGCAGTTGAGGAGGAGAGCACAAGTGACCTTGACAAGCAGAGGCTACAGGAAGTAGAATGTTCTCTTATCTTCATTAATCAACGAGTCTAGAGCAAGGGGTAACGCCGTTAGGTCAACCGCGGCTGAAGGAAAGACTTCAAAATTGCTGTCCCCATGATTCCTGCGTCCAGCCATGAGAACCCTAGAAGCTGATGCATGCGGACAAACCTTCCACTCCGTGTAGACGGTCTCCCGCTTCGAGTTGGTGGGGGAGAGGTCGGGGGTGAAGCCCTCGATGGGCTTGCGCTTCACCTCCTCCTCCTCGAAGAAGCTGGTGAAGTCGTCGGGGAGCATCTGCAGAGCATCAGGACAGGGGCGGGAAAGAGAGGAAGGGAGGCAGTGTCGAGGGAGGGGGGGGATGAGAGCAGCAGCACAAGGTGGAGGACCAGGACCAGGACCAGGACCAGGACCAGGAGGACAAGGACGAGGACGAGGAGGATGAGTACAAGGACGACGAGGACCAGGACCAGGACGAGGAGGACAAGGACGAGGACGAGGAGGATGAGTAGGAAGGCGAGGGGAAGGAGGGGCAAGGGGATCTGAGCAGGAGGAGCCATTGACCTCGCGAAAAACTTCCACGACGTTGGAGTACCCCTTGAAAAGAGCAGCATCGAGAGGGGTCTTCCCGCTCTCAGACTTGGCTTTCGCATCGGCTCCGTTCTTGATCAGGACTCTGAGCAGAGGGTGAGAAACTGAGCTCCTCTCCCTCCGACCTGCCTGGCAACTTCGGAATATCCCCAGTTCGCCGCGTGATGGAGAGCGGTCCAACCGTGCTGCGCGGAGTGAGTGAAGAGAAAGCGGATGGTCAAGATAAGCAAGGGAAGAAATGTGAAGGTGAAAGAGTACACGGGACTGAACGCAACAGCAGCTGTATGGTCAACAGACAACAGAAAACAGGAAACAGAAAATATATAGATACAGAAAACAACAGAAGAAAACGCACACAACATGAACAAGTTTCGACATTCAAGTACAACTCATCATCACATATCTTGTGACAAGTACAACTCATCATCACATATCTTGTGACAAGTACAACTCATCATCACATATCTTGTGACAATACAAAACTCCAGGGCCTCAACCTCTCATCGACTCACCTGGTTGGTAGGAAAGACGCTCGCCCCGAGCTCGATGAGCTTCGCCGTCGTGTCGACATGCCCGTTGGTAGCCGACCAGTGAAGTGCCGTAGACTGCAGGAGCTCTGGATCATAGAAATTCACCTGTGCCCCAGCAGCATGCAGCCTGTAGCACCACAAACCATCACCAGCAGCAGGAAGAGATCTACTCGCGCTCACTTGACCACAGCATCGGTCTCCCCATTCTTGGCAGCTTCCCAGAGCTGGAGGTTCAGATCTGCTTGCTCGCTCTTGGTCAAGGTCTTGGACCCCGAAGCCTGAGCAGGGGGAGGAGGAGGGGGAGGGGGAGCAGCTAGTGCAACTACAGTGAACGGCTTCGATCGATGGCGGCACTGTGCCGACTGTGTTTGACGCAGCATCAGGTTGGGACGGAGCCCTCCGGTCTGGAAGGCTTCGCCCACTTGGAGCATACCAGCGAAGGCAACGATGAGAAATAATGCTGATCTCATCTTTTTCTTTTCTCTTTCCCTCTCCCTCACTCCTTCCCGTCAGACGATTCCTGTACACAGACTGTTGTTAGGATAGCTTCATTCCTTTCATTCCTCCCTGAAGGCCTTTCCTTTGCTCAAGATGTTTTTCGACGCCTATTTTCATCTTAACCCCGCTACAACTCCTTCACCTCATCCAACTCATCAACTCTTCCCTTCCGACTGATGTTCCCCTTCCTCCCCTCCCCACCCCTCCGCTCCGCTCCGCTATGCTCATCCTCCCCCCCCTCCCCTCCCCTCTCCATTCCCCTCCTCTCCTCTACGATCATCTCCATTCCCCTCCTCTCCTCTACGATCATCTCCATTCCCCTCCTCTCCTCTACGATCATCTCCATTCCCCTCCCCTCCTCTACGATCATCTCCATTCCCCTCCCCTCCTCTACGATCATCTCCCCTCCCCTCCTCTCCTCTACGATCATCTCCCCTCCCCTCCTCCTCTCTCTCCTAAAATCTCTTTGCGCCATGGAGAAATCGCTTTGTATGCACCGGTGCATGAGGGTGATGATTGAAAATGAGGGTGATGATCTGAAATGACCACTCTATTCTTGTGCTATAAACATTTACCACTTCCTATATGTGATTTATTGTCTATAACACCATAACCCGATAATTATATATTTTATTGTGGATTTATTGTAGAATCATGTAGAATTTTCTGCACACCTTGTTACGTTAGGGAGAATTGTTGGTGGGGTGGTCACAACAAAGGGGGTAGGGTATAAAAATGATTTTGACGGAGGTAATTATTGGGGTAATTTTCCCTAAAAATAACGGGTAGTGTTTGTCAATGATAGGGTGGGGGTACGGAGAAGGAGGGGTGGGAGTCATCAGTACATGCATGCGAAGATGAGACGCATACAAACAGGAGAGGAGAGGAGAGGAGAGGAGAGGAGAGGAGAGGAGAGGAGAGGAGAGGAGTAGAGGAGGAGAGGAGAGGAGACGAACGAGGGTAAGGGAGGAAGAGGAAGGAGAGAGAGAGAGACGAGGAGGAGATGCGAAGGAGGGTTCAGAATCTCAAGGGGAGGAGCAGAGGACAAGGGGAAAAGCGGCTGAGAATCTGCCATGAAAAAGCGCAGGACGATGGAAGGAAAGCAGGAACATCAGAGGGGGGTGTGGAGAAGTGTACGAGAGGAGAGGGAAAGCATACGAAGACGAGACGAATGTTGGAGGGAGAACGAGATGAAAGGGGGCGCACAAGAAATGAGAGATTAGGATAACAAGGTACCACAGGAGTTGCAGATCAAGACATTGAAACGAGGGTAGATCAGGCATACGCATTCTCTCGCGCCAACATGGCAAGACGAAACTTCTCTCCCTTGGGCTGAACATTTCTCTGCTGATCTTTCCAACCGTCCACCTCATCATCTCACCTTGTGGTACAGGATGCTGTCACAAAGTTCGAAGAAGGCTGTCTCGACGCTACGTCGTTCTTATGCCAGGCTCCTCCCAGCTGGCGCCCGGCAGTACATGCAGAGGGTCTCCAGGTCCAAGTTGCTGGAGCAACGAGGCGGCTTCCCGTCGACGTCTCGTCCTCAGGTTCTGCGGCTGAACGATCAGCCTCTGCGATGGATGTCTGCCGAGCCGCAATCGGAGGAGGGAAAGGAGAAGCCCGAAGAAGTCAAGGAGGAGGCGAGCAAGACGCCGGAAGCTGCGCCGATCAACATCAAGGGGAAGGAGGAGATCGTGGGGGAGGAAAAGAGCTACGGGTTTCAAGCGGAGACGAGGCAGCTCCTGGACATCGTCACGCACTCCTTGTACGCGGACCGCGAGGTCTTCGTGCGTGAGCTGGTGTCGAACGCGAGCGACGCGCTGGAGAAGGCGAGGCACGTGCTCCTGACGTCTCAGGGAGGAGCAGACACGGAGAAGTTATCTATCAGCATCTCTGTGGATGCTGCGGAGAAGATGTTCGTGATTGTGGACAATGGCCTCGGTATGACGAAGGAGGAGATGATGGAGAATTTGGGGACGATTGCGAGGTCGGGCAGCAAGGCGTTCTTGAACCAGCTTGCCAACCAGGCGGGTCAAGGGAACGACCTGAAGAACAGCATCATCGGGAAGTTCGGAGTAGGGTTCTACAGGTAGGAGAGGCCCCGTCTCCTTGCTGTTGCCCGGCTGGTCCTGACAAGCATGGAACAGTGCGTTCATGGTGTCCGAGAAGGTTCAAGTGTTCTCCCGCAAGAGAGGCGAGGATGCCGGACATTGCTGGACCAGCCAGGGCGACGGGAGCTACACCATCGCACCGGTGATGATGGCGGAGAAGAGACGTTGCGACCGTTGATACGGCGATGGCGCAGGCGAGCGGAGTGGAGGAGGGAACGAAGATCGTGCTGTACCTCCGAACGGACGCGCTAGGTGATGCGAGGCGTGCGAGAGCTGCTGTGGGTGATAGATGAGCAGACTTTGCCAAGGAAGAGACGGTGAAGACGATCGTGAATAAGTGAGAAGAGAGAGGCTGGATGGAACCGATGCTGATTCTACCACTAGGTACTCGTCCTTTGTCGCCTACCCGATCCTCTGCAACGGAAAGCGAGTCAACGAAGTCGACGCTCTCTGGCTCAAACCAGCCGACAGGTTGACGAGTTAAGTCGTGATGGCGATGCTGACGCCTGGCAGCATCACCACTGAAGAGCACACCAACCTCTACCGTCACCTCGCCAAGGCCTACGACGCTCCGACCTACACGCTTGTCTTCCGCGTACGTGGAGGGGAGGAGGAGGAGGGTGGGGGGGGTGGCGGTAGAGGTTGGTGTGCTCTTCAGTGGTGATGCTGCCAGGCGTCAGCATCGCCATCACGACTTAACTCGTCAACCTGTCGGCTGGTTTGAGCCAGAGAGCGTCGACTTCGTTGACTCGCTTTCCGTTGCAGAGGATCGGGTAGGCGACAAAGGACGAGTACCTAGTGGTAGAATCAGCATCGGTTCCATCCAGCCTCTCTCTTCTCACTTATTCACGATCGTCTTCA